TATAAAATGCTGCTGAATTTTTCTTTTTCTTTTTTCTTTTCCCCCACCATGTTTAGAAGTGCATCATCTTTTATTAACTTAGACTTCTGCTTCACTTCCAGTTCTCAGTGCAATCCACTCATATACTTCTGATGTATCCCCTTTTGATAAATGACTCGATTAAACTGAATTCCTCTGTCACTGTTAGAGATATCAAATTAAAAATGCTCCATCTTTAATCATGCCAGGCTTCATAGCCATCTCCCAGGCTCCATTTATCAATAATTAATATATAAAGTAAGATTGAAATCCATTTCTATTTCAAAGAACCAAAAGTTATATTTTTAATAATAAGACCATGCACTCATTATTCTTAGAAAAGGACAGGTTCATTCATGTGATCTGCCCAAGAAATAAAAGTGAGTCTTACAGCAAGGAATTACTGCCCAGAAGCTGTTTTAACAAAAGCTGCTTTTTTTTTAAAGGGAGGAATATAATGTTAGCCTTCTATCCAAATCCAATGTTATTTTTATTTATAATTGTAAAATGAGATAAATAATATTTTTTAAAAAAATTGAAGGAAATTCTAATTCAAGGAAACCACTGTTTTGTTTTGTTTTTGTAAACTCATGTGACTCACATATATCTTATGAAAATAAATAGACCGGAATATATGTTGTAACATCTAAGTGTTGATTAGTAAAACCAGCATACTTACCCATCCATTCTCGCTATTTTTGTCACTTAACACCTTTAGTGAAAGTCACATCAGAATATTTCAAAACATGGTGACTAGGAATATTTTATTGAATAATTTAGCCAGCTCTTGACATTTTGATTACAGAACGTAATCAGCATTCAAAATCCTCCTCACATAGATAATACACTTCTATGCATACTGGTTTCTTCAAATAATATCTGTTCAAATGCCAGACATTGTTATATAGAATTTAATAATTTGTTTTTCATTTTGTAAAGTGCAAGATCTATTCTAAATCCTACTTCCTGGAAGCTCAAGTCTTCAAGAATATTTGTTTTCTACTGAGTATAAATGAACAGGGGGGAAATGCTTAATCTTTTGAAAGTCCAATCTGTTAATGTTTTGAATCCTTATGTATTAAGTTTATTTTACTACCTTAATTTAAATGTACTAGTGTCCTATTTGTCTATTTTTGTTACATTGTTTTAAGTGTTATTGGGGAAAGACCAATTCTCAATTCTTTTCAGAATTTCTTAATTAATTTTCTTAATACTTGTATTAAGAGATTAAACTGTACCAAATATTAATTGTTCAGTACAAATGCTAATTAGGAAAGGATCATTTTCTTTTAATTAAGGAATTAATTAATGCTACAATACTTATTGGAGAAGCCCCACAGATTTTACTTCTGAATAGATAAGAATATTCTGTTAAAGCATTTTAGATAGTTAAATTTCTATTAAATACTGAATACCATTGCAGTCTTAAACATACTGACTTACAATTTCTCACTGGGACTTCTGAAGTACCACATTTAGGTTTGCAATTATAATCTATGTAAATCTGCATGCTAATAAGAAGATAATTTCAATGTGGTTATGCATAATAAATGGTAAAACCTTTTACTTATGTCTCTTCCAAAAAAGGAAGAACTTCCGTGCCTCCAACTTAGGTTTTAAATAATTACATCAAAAGAAACAAAATCTATATCTCCAATGTATGGAAACGCTGGCTCCAGATGAATAGTTTTTCCCTGTATTGTAATAGTTCTGTGCTTTTCATTGAAAATTACTATTATGTGCTTTTCATTGCAAATTACTACCTTTACTTGCAGGAAAATTAATTTTCAGAAACAAAATAACATGGGATTTAAAAATAATAAGCTAAAGGAAATAATAAATACAAGATAGATCATTAATTGTTTTTCAAAATCTGATATTTCGAATATACCTGTATTTGTATTTTGTATTTGTATTTAATTTTATTTAAATATGCCGCCCAATCCCAAAGGACTCAGGGCGGCGTACAGAGATTAAAACAATCATAAAACAATAAAATAATACAGTCATACCACGAGTCCGATCATATCCCGCCCCCCGCCCCGGGGACATCAGCCCCAGGCCTGCCGGAACAGGAGAGTTTTAACGGCTTTCTTAAAGGCCGGCACGGTGGGAGTAGTTCGAACCTTGGGGGGAAGTTGATTCTACCAGGTCAGAGCCACCACAGAAAAGGCCCTTCCCCGAGGGCCCACCAGCCGACATTGTCTGGCCGACGGGACCTGAAGGAGGCCCAATCTATGGGACCTCACCAGTCTCTGGGAACTGTGCGGCAGAATGTGGTCCTGTAAGTAACCTGGCCCTATGCCATGAAGGGCTTTAAAGGTGATAACCAACACTTTGAATTGCGTCCGGAGACCCACAGGAAGCCAGTGCAGCTCGCGGAGGATAGGTGACACGTGGGCGTACCTTGGCGCACCCACAATCGCTCTCGCGGCTGCGTTCTGAACCAACTGCAGCCTCCGAACGCCCTTCAAGGATAGCCCCATGTAGAGTGCGTTACAGTAATCCAGTCTTGAGGTGACAAGGGCATGAGTGACTGTGAGTAAAGCCTCCCAGTCCAAATAAGGCCACAACTGGTGCACTAGGCGAACCTGTGCAAAGGTCCCCCTGGCCACAGCCGATAGATTTTGTTCCAAATTTAGCTGTGAGTCCAGGAGGACACCCAAGTTGCGTGCCCGCACTGAGGGAGGTAAATTTGCCCCCCCCAGGACTAATGATGGACCATCCAGTTGGCCTTTGGGAGGCAAGACCCAGAGCCACTCGGTCTTGTCAGGGTTGAGTCTAAGCCTGTTCACCCCCATCCAGACCCTCACATCTTCCAGGCACTGTCACATCACGTCGACTGCTTCACTGAAAGGACACGGGGTAGAGATATACAATTGGGTATCATCCGCGTACTGATGATACCTCACCCTGTGTCGCCAAATGATCTCACCCAGCGGTTTCATGTAGATGTTAAAAAGGAGGGGGGACAGGACCGAGCCCTGAGGCACCCCATGATCGAGGCACCTAGAGGTTGATCTCTGTCCACCCGCCAACACCGACTGTGACCTGTCAGAGAGGTAGGAGGAGAACCACCGCAATACGGTGCCGCCCACCCCCACCTCTCCGAGACGACGCAGAAGGATACCATGGTCGATGGTATCGAAAGCCACTGAGAAGTCAAGAAGCACCAGGATAGAGGAATAATCCCTATCCCGGGCTCGCCAGAGGTCATCGGTCAGTGCGACCAAAGCAGTCTCAGTGCTGTAGCTGGACCTGAAACCAGATTGAAAAGGGTCCAGATAATTAGTTTCATCCAAGGATCGCAAGAGTTGGGATGCCACCACCTTCTCTACAACCTTCCCCACAAAGGGGAGGTTGGAGACGGGATGAAAGTTCTTCAAAACAGCTGGGTCCAGGGAAGGCTTCTTGAGGAGGGGCCTCACCACCGCTTCCTTTAAAGGTTGCGGGAAAGACCCCTTCATCAAGGAGGCATTGATTATAGCCTGGAACCAGCCTCATATCACCTCCCTACTGGCAGAAACCAGCCAGGAAGGGCATGGGTCCAATAAACAGGTGGCGGCATTCCTTGCCCTCATGACCTTGTCCACTTCATCAGGACCACCACCACAGAGAGGTCGCAAAGGCGCAATTCGATCCAGGGCCCCAGACGCCGCCTCATTCCAGGCCGCAACCAGGGACCCAGACGAGTTGTGGACAAGGGAGTCAGGTATTTCCCCAAGCTCCTCCTGGAACCGATCTGGGTCCATTAGGCGCCTGGAGCGGAACCACCTAGTCGGCTCCCTCTCCCTGCGATGGGGGAGTGATGCTCTGAAGTCCAGCCTCAATAGGAAATGATCTGTCCATGACAAGGGCGAGATCTCTATTCCCCTTAATTCCAGATCAGGTCTCCATTGCCCCGAGAGAAACACAAGGTCGAGTGTGTGACCACCCCTATGAGTTGGATCCTGAATTACCTGGGTCAGGTCCATGGTTGCCATGGAAGCCATGAACTCCTGCACCGCCTCTGAGCGATCGCCGAGTGATGGTAGGTTAAAGTCCCCCAGTACTATAAGTCTGGGGAACTCCACCGCCAACCTGGCTACTGACTCCAGCAACGCAGGCAGGGCTGTTGCAACGCAGCTGGGAGGTAGGTACGTCAGCAGCAAGCCCAACTGAACCCGTGAACCCAACTTCAATAGGAGGGACTCACACCCAACAACCTCCTGGGCAGGAATCCCACGAGGACTCAAGGACTTCCGAGCGATGACTGCCACTCCCCCACCCCTGCCCTGATGTTGAGGCTGATGAAGCACCACAAACCCATCCAGGCACATCTCCGAGAGGGAAACACCCCCCTCAGGGCCCAGCCAGGTTTCAGTTATACATGCCAGGTCCGCCCCGCTGTCCAATATTAAATCACGGACAAGGGGGGCTTTGCTGACAACGGCCCTGGCATTAAGCAACAGCAGCCTACAATTAGGGCCCTGTACTCCCCTGTCACCAATACTACAGGATGAGCCTTTTGAGGGGCCGCTCTAACATAGCGAGTCCTCATTCCCCAAAGATGGCCTGCCCCTCGGCTCCCGCCATATCTGCCCATCCCAGTCCTAACCGGGATGCTCTGACCTTCTCCCCTCCCCGGAGTACCCCCACCCTCACCAGCCTTCTCCCTTCCTGACCAGACTCGCTTTCCATACAGACCAAGCCCAAGGGTAAGTCCTGCCCCCCCTACTTTTGCTATTGCACTCAGCAGAGGGGGTACCAGGCTCCGCCCTCGACTCCACCATTCTCATACCCCAAACACTCAATACACATTCACACTCAATTTATATACATAAAAAATAAAAATATTCACATTCATACGCCCTAAATACAATAATAAAATTTATACATAACAGGGCCACCATTCATCTACATGCATACACACACCCACAACAAACATTCTCTAAAAAAAAAATATTGCCCCTCTGTGTCCCAGGATGGTCCAATGTGGCCGGCTAGGTGATCATTAGGTACTTGTCTTGGGGCAGACCGTACTTGGCCTTATGCTCCTCAAAGAGCTGGGTCAACTTCTCCAAGTACCTCTCATGCAGCTCATAAATGGCTTCTCTGGACATCCAACAATTGTGTAAAGTCAACCCAGCCACGGCGGGACGGCTAGTCAAACTGGGGCTCCTTAAAGCTGAGTTGGTTTCAATTGCTGGGATCGCAGCCGGGAATGGAGAATGTAATAACACCTCTGAGCATGTACAGAGTAGATTTCTAGGCCACAAGCTCGCTTCTCCCACTCCTTTCATGATGTGGCACTCGATGACGGGCCCAAACTCCTGGAAGAGGACGCGCAGCTCACCGCTGGTGCATGCGGCCGAGATATTGCCCACGAAGGTCTTGACGGTGTGGGTGGGCCTCGGGCGGGAGAACTCCACGACCACGCGGTGGCAGTGCAGGAGGTGCCCATTGAGCTTCTGGATGGCGTGCTCGGCCACCGCCTCGTCGCACAGGTGGATGAAGGCGAACTGCTTCATGAGGGCCACCTTCACCACCACGCCCGGCACGGCCGCCTCGAAAAGGTCACGCAGCTCCACCCACGATGCCCCCCCGGGCATGCCGTCCACGAACACCTCCACGCCCGGCTGCACCGGGCCCGCCTGTCCCGAGGAGGCCCGGAGAGAAGGAAAGAAGCCAGACGACGTGGACCCACAAAATGGCGCCCGCGAAAGTGACGCGGCCCCCCTCCGGCAACAGTCCTTCTGCCTCTTGTGACCTGATGGGCAATGTATAATGTTTTCCTTCCTCTATGCTTTCCCAATATCTTTTCTAGAACTGCAATGAAGGCTAATCCCATTATCCATTAGTCTACTTAGCATTCAATCCGAGAGTCTCCTATGAAATTTCTAAAATTTTAAATCCTGATCTGAAATTTCAAGTCAGCAAAAATAAAATAATGAAACTGTTCTGATTCATTCAAAACCAAGAAAACAACCAAACAGTCTTCTCTCTCATATAATTAGTCGACCAAATAAAGGACTCCAGCCATGCTGAAACTAACTCAACAATCTCTCCATAGTGGCTGGGTAATAAAACAATAACAGATGGACATGAACATTGAAATCTGCAGCAACATTTAGAACAGTGCCCTCTGATATTATAGAGCAAATTAAGTTTAAAAAATAGTAAGCAGTCTACTAAAACACAATCTATCACCCTTTGCCCAGTAATTATCATATTACTGTGCAGAACACAAAGAGACCTCCTTGTGATTGTAGAGAGACAATATTATTCAATAAGCCTTAATTATTGAGAAATTGTGTAGCATCACGTGATAACCTGCCTGCTGATATAATATGATATAATATAGCCCTATGATTCATCATTCATTCCCTGGAGGGGGAGGTGAGTTATGGGGGGGGAGAGAAAACCCTCTATGGTAGCCTGGCTGAGGTGCTAAGGCATGGTAGCTCTGTGGATGTAATCACACATCGTTGTGCATTTTTGGATTGCCCAATTAGGAAAGTGAGAGAAAGAAAATAAGAACTTTATGTGGAAAGTTTATAAAAGCATATATAATAAGTATTACTATTATCTTTTCAATATGTTCCTTGTCCCCTGCTACTGAATCACAAGTAACACTGTGCTAACATTTTTATTGAAAGTTAGAAATAAGGGTGATAATTGCACCATTGCCCTACAGAACCTATGCAAGTTATAATTATATACTGTTACCAAGAAACCCAGCAATTTTAGGCATATTACCCACAGGTATCATTTAGTTCAGAGTTAAAATTATTATTCTATTGGTAGCTTCATGCATGTTTTTTGCCTTAAGTCTTTCTTTCCTATTCAGGACTTGCAGAAGTGAAAAGCATAGCAAAGAGACGAACATGATAAATTTTGCCTTGCCATTTCCCAAACATTTTCTTCCCCATGAAATAGGTTTCTTTCTCTACCTTGTTCCTAAAGTGCCTGAGAACCACTTTATAATTTGTTCTCAGCAGTGTTTTGAATATTACTTTATTACCTAAAGTGGCAGAAAGAATAGGGTTGTTCTTTTCTGTGTTATACCTCTCCATTACTTTGAAGCCTCTCTGTCTATTTAACTTTTGGTAAAGCCCAAATGGATGAGTTCATTTATGGTATCTTTGACTTTAGCAAGGGAAGGGAAGGACATACATAATCTTTGGCTAGAATGTGATTAAGTGAAAGAACATCACACTCTACCTAAAGAATTTCTTTTCTTTTGAGTGAATTATTAGATTTAGTAGAAGAAAGGAGCTAATGTACAGCACAGCACTTCCTTTTAGCAATAGTACATAGACTTAAATATCCTGCTGCATAGTGCTTTACAGCACTCTCTAGGCAGTTTACAACATCAGCATGTTATCCTCAGCACTTTGGCTCCTCATTTTATTGACCTCAGTAAGATGGAAGGCTGAGTAAATCTTGAGCCTGCCAGGATCGAACTACAAGCTGTGGGCAGAGTTTGCCTGAAATACTGCATTCTAATCACTTAACCACCAGAGCTCCAGAGTTTATAAAAAGAATACTCACTTGATTGCCACAGATAATCTAGCACACAGATTTGACACTATCCAATATGAAGGGATGGTGCATAATATTGCTGAGATAAATAAGTCTTTTCTTTTCTTGTACTTTTTGCTGTCTCCTTGCTTATCTTTTTCTCATTGGTTCTGTACTTTATATTAGATTGCATTTCTTTTTAACTTTTTAAAAATATTTTAATAGAATATGTATGCATGTATAAAGTCTAGTGGACAGAAATATCCACCAGAAGTAGCCAAAAATGCATTTTAGGAAATCTAAACAGTGATCTTAGAAAGAATGTAAAGTTCCTTCCATTCATCAGGTCATAACTTATTTTTCCAGATACCTAGACTAAAAGAGGGGATAGAAGGAAAAGTCACCAAATTTGCAGATGACACCAAGCTGGAGAGAAATAGCCAACATTTTTAGAAATGTTGCTCGAGGATCTCCTCATCTAAATCACTCTCTACTTTTAATTCTAACAAATTAAATTCTGCAATTCCTTCTTTCCTTAGCAATAGCAATAGCACTTAGACTTATATATCGCTTCACAGTGTTTTGCAGCCCTCTCTAAGCAGTTTACAGAGTCAGCATATTTCCCCCAACAATCTGGGTCCTCAATTTACTGACCTCAGAAGGATGGAAGGCTGAGTCAACCGTGGGCTGCTGAGAATCGAATTGCTGAATTCTGGCAATTGGTAGTCACCTGCATTCTAATCACTCCACCACCAAGGCTTCCTTCCTTCCTTCCTTCCTTCCTTCCTTCCTTCCTTCCTTCCTTCCTTCCTTCCTTCCTTCCTTCCTTCCTTCCTTCCTTCTTTCCTTCCTTCCTTCCACATAACTATTCTGGCCATAGTGATAAAGTCAAATTAGCTACAAACAATTTTACATAAACTATAGCTAGTGGGCTTAAAAATAAAAATAATGTTGCTTTCTCAACCTTCTCTCCTTATAGTGCTGCATAAGCTCAGTCACAAAGCACACAATATTATAGATGTCACCACATCACAAGGAATCAAATGTATACAATGCAATACTATTTTGTGACCATCCTTTAATCAAATTCACCAAACATCCTTAGTTCTCTTATGCTTTCCATGTTTTTATGTGTATAGTATTTTAGTTTGTTTTTGTACAGTTATGACTTTTTTATTAGACACTGCCTAATATTTATTTAAAACTGAAAAGCAGGATACAAATATTTCAAAATAACCTACCCAATGACAAACACACTCAGGGTACATTTCAGCCTACAGAATCTATCTATTCCCAAGAAACCACAGTTAAGTTCTGGCTTGCAAACAATCTTTCAATATATTAATACAAATAGAAGAAGTGTAACATCCACCTTCTTTCCTCTCTGAATTCTATATTTTTGGCAGTTCGTACTCAATGCAGCATACAACCCGGAAATTACATGTGGTTTACTTATTTAATGATATTTGACAACTCTGGAAATGTTGCAAAGGCGAATGGAGCACTGAAAGAGGATTAGGTTTCTGCCCTTGATGTACACATGGCAAATAGCCAAATATTCCATTTATAATGTTGCCTTGCCCTCCATTACAAGGTCATTCATAGACAGATTGAGTCTCCAATTTGCATTAAAAGAAACATACATACTATGCTTCAGACCAATAGGAACATTCTCCTGGAATCAAAATCAAACAGAAAATAACAATCAAATTAAAAACAAATATTCATTAAATTAAATTCTCTCTGCATAGAATTAAAGCAACAAGAACCATGAAAAGTGAGGGGATCACACTTCTGAACTGTCATCATTTTAGCTGGCTGAAATGGGGAAAAAAATAAATCAGAATTACCTAGGATGCTTAAACTTAATATCTAAGATTTTTAATAACAGGCAAGGGAATGTAAATGAAGAAAAGAATAAATTTCCAATATTCTCACATATTGTAGGAATTTATAGTGAACAAGTATATACTTTAATAATCCCTCAAATATGATACTGAATATTAAGGAAAAAAATAAATAGATGAACCACCAATGTGGTTTTCAGAAGCAAGAGGTAGTTGATTAACTGCATTGGTATACTGTATATAATCATGGCAATAATATCCACAGTGTGGTGGTGAGGAGTGAAAAATATGACATGGCAGTTGTGGCAGTCTGACAATGGAAGGAGTAACACATTATTGTGTCACATGGGATTTTGGTGATATATACAATTCGAGAAAAAGGATAATAAGGCAAGCTGCTTGCGACACTACAATTCTCAATGCACTGGAAGGAATTAGTTCTTAACAGGCAGAATTCCACACCTTGACAATTTTCTTGGAAAGTGGGGATGGGACAGGGTGAAGTGGGAAAAATCACAAATAAAATATCACCACTCTGCAAAACTCTCCCTGTGGAGATTCTCAATTATCCAGGCCATGATTGTTCCAAAGGTGCCTTTTCCAAAGGGCAACTGGCTTCCTTGTTGTTATTTTTTCCTTTGAAAATGGTTTGCTTCCTATCCAAGAAGCTCAGAGCTGAAGAAACTCCTTGGATGAGAAGTGAAGCATGTACCATAGCTACCTACTGTAGAGAAAAGTCTTCACCCTTTTTGTTCAGCAAAATCTCTTCCCAAATTTTGTTGTTGGTCATCTCTCACACCATTTTAATAAAAAATTCTGCTAAACAGGCTCCAAAACAAAGTTAAACTAATTTTCCTACAGTTTTGCATTCATTATCACAATTTTTCCCTTTTTTATGGAGGATCAATAATGGCATTGTTCCAACCATCAGGCAGAGATAAATTATAGCTTACTTGATTAAATTATCCTTACATTCATAACAACCCATAACTTCCATGCATGCATTTATCAACTTTAATGTTCATGTTCATGGATTCTAATGTTCGTTCAGACTTAATACATCTTTTCCCTTCTTCCCTTTATACCACATAGTCTCTTACATTCCAGATTATTTTTTCCAAAAGTTCTAATCATTGCTTTGGTCAATCAAAGATTTCATATAATATGATAAAGATGTAAAGTACGCTATCAAACTTAGTTATACCTGGGCTACAGGCAGCATTTTTTGCTAGTGATATAAATAGTATGAATCAGATTTGGAACATTTTAGAAGGTATAAATTTTACTGAAGAAAAATTCATACATATGTGTATTTATGCATACACACATACATAAGCACAAAACATAAACAGTTCTAAATACTATTTTGGTAATAATCACATATCTGTGGCATTAGGAGACAGTATATATTGTGAATGCCTGGAATTCTGTGTTTGAATTTTAGACAGATGAATGACTGTCCAAGAGAATCCCATATGATATTGCTGCTGCCCTCTTGCATTGCCTGGAAGCTGTGGTTCAACTGAATCCTGGCAAGACTTAATGGCTTTGGGTACCTGGAGCTCCATGATCCAAGAAT